CAAACTTGAAAAGGACAGTACAAAAGAGGAAAATTACAAGTTGATATTTCTTAGGAGCACAGAATTGCAAACAAAATACTGCACTGAGAAATATATTAAAAAATACTATATTTTGTCAAATGAGATTCATCTCTAGAATGCAAAGATAGTTTTAAATATTGAAATTTATTTATTTTGCCACATAATCACAGTCAAAGAGGGGGAAAGACATATTTATCATAATTGATGCATACAATGAATTAATAATAAAAGTCAGCACTTGAATTAGTTTTCTATTGTTTAAAGAATGATCGCAGATATAGAAGCTTACAATATCATGCCTTTATCATCCCAGAGATCCATGGGTCAGAAGTCCAGTCAACTTAGCTGGGTCCTGTACTCAGAGTGTTACAAGGATAAAAATCAGAGTGTTGACTGGGTGCTTTTTCCATCTCAAGCTTGAGGTCCACTTCTAAGCTACACGTTGTAGGTAGAATCCAGTTCTTATGGTAATAGGATCAAGACCTCATTTACTTGCTGGCTGGGACTACTTTAAGATCCTGGAGGATGATCGAAGTTCCTTTCATGTGGTCCCTTTATAGATATTCTCACAGGTGTTCTCACAAAGCAGCAGGTTACATCTTCTAGAACATTAGGAAAATGTAGTTTCTGACTTCAAGTTGGATTTTTCAAAGGCTTACTAAATTTTGGTTAGGCATGTGCAGAATAATCTCCCTTTTGGTTAAGTCACAGTTAATTTTGGGGGCATTTGAATCATATCTTAAACTTTGCAATAACAATCTAATCACAAAATACATATAATATATTCCATTGTATTATACAAATCCTGTTCACATCAAAGTGGAAGAGACCACACTGGTAATGTACACCAGGGACAGGAATTTCGGGGCCCATCTTAAAATTCTGTATACTACAGAACTCATTCATGATCTAGAATTTTTTTAATTGGGTTGATGTAAATTAGCCAATTAAAAATAGAATGGAACTTCCTTTGTCTTATAGTCTATCTATAAAACTCTACAAACTAATATCATAATTAATTATAAAACACTAAATGCTTTTATCATTGCAAAGTAAAGTATGGACATTCATTATTATCACCTCCATCAATATTTCACTGGAGTTTCAACCTAACGGGATTAAGCAAGGAAAAGAAATAAAGGAAAAGAAATAAAGGAAAAGTTTGATGAAAATACAACTGACATTATTTGCAGATGATATGATTATATATGTGAAAAATGCAAAAAAATATAGAAATGAATTATTGGGAATAAGAAGCATATTTAGAAATGTTTCTGGATGTTAGGTAAATACATAAAATAAATTTTATTTTTCTACAGTAGCAAGAAACAATTGTAAATCAAAATAGAAAATAAACACTGTCTAAAGTTGCATAACTACTTAAAATTCTAGGAAATACTCCAATGAAATTTGTGTAAGATTTTTACTGTGTTGAGAGAAATTAAAAAAAGACTAGGGTAGATAGAAGGAAGATACCATGTTCATAATTGAGAGTTCTATATTAACATGTTCCTTTTCACCAAGTCAATCTATAAATTTAAAGAAATCTTAACCTAAGTTGACTTCAGTCAAGATGAATAAAGTTGGAAGATTTAGACTACCAGAATTCAAGGTTTAATGTAAAACCTCAGTAATTAAGAAGACATTCTATCAACACAATAATAGAGAAATGGGCTGATGTAATAAAACAAATAATGCAGATTTGAAGCACAAAATATAGTCACTTCTTTAACAACAAATACCATTGTATCTCAAATTAGAAAAGAGATAATTTTTAGTAAATGGTGCAGGCACAGGAATCTGCAAAATATTTGTTGGTAAATATTTTGCTAGCTGGTAAATACTTTAGGCTTTTAGGTCACATATAGTCTCTGTCACATATTTGACTTAAAAAATTAACTCTTTAAAATATAAACAAATGAAAAATATTCTTAGCTCATGAGCTATACTGAAACAGGCCACTGGCTCGGCTGACCTATGAGCCAACTTTCCCATGCCTTTCTACAGAAATTTTATGTATGTGAAAGAAACTAAACAGTTTTCCTAACTTAGAATATATACAGATAAACAATTTGAGATGGATAATATTACCTAAATGTTTTTGCAAATTAATAAAGTCTCTAAAAGGAAACATAGGCAAATACATTAATGGTATTGATTAGACAATCCTCTCATAAACTGGACACAAAATGAACTAACTTTATAGAAAAGGTTTAAAAGACTTTATTAAAATAAGAACATCTATTTCAAATACAGAATTTTGAAATAGTAAAGGTAAGCATAGACAAGAGAAAGTCTGTCTACTTACCTACCTACCTACCTACCTGCCTAGAAAGATATCCAGCAAGAATTCACATATAGAATATATGGAAATTCTTACAAGTATGTAGGAAGATCAAAAAGAATTAAATAGAAATTAGACAAAAGCTTTGAACAGGAATTTTATAAAAGAAGAAATCCAAATGGCCAACATATGAAAATATGGTCAACTTTATTAGGTACCAGGGAAATCCCAATTAAAAACACAGATATCTCTATACAAACACTACATTGGTAAAACTTAAAAGATTGACAATACCAAGTGTGAGGGTAGAGCATAACAAGAACTCACGTACTATTGATGAATATGAAGATGGTGTATTTATGTTTATTGTTTATCAACGGGGAAAGGATAAGAAATCTGTGATACAGTCACACAATGAAAATATACAACAATGAAATGAATGAAATGTGTGGACATTCCAAAATATGGATGAATCTCAGAGACATTTTTGAGGCATAAAAGAGTACATACTGCATTATTCAGTACTATAAAGACCAAGGAGAGGTACACGTGATAGGAAGGAGGAGGGTAGATGATGATAGGAAGGTAACATGGTAGACCTGGGCACTATAAATTATTTATATCTTGACATGAGTGGAGATTACACAGGCATAAACTTCATGAACACGGGTATGAATTCACTAAACTGTACACTCGAGATTAATGCACTTTATACGTGTGACTACACTACAACTCAGTGCAAAAGTGTCTATAATGAAATACAAATTCAGACTTTTGAAAGAAATGAACAAAACAGGTAAGGAAAGGGAAGGATTGAGAGTATGAAGGATAAGATGAATAAATGAAATATATGTCTTGAGATGCCTTTTATTAGGGCTAAATTACAAAGTCACATTCTTTATCATTATGTTTACTTTTTTGCAAATCCATGGCTAGCTCTAAGTAGCACAAAATTGCTTAAAAAAACCTTCTGATACCCTTCCCAGACTTGCCAAAGACGTAATGATAAATTTGGGATGTCAATAATCTCCAGTTTCAAGAATTGAACAATATTAATATTCTTAGAATTTTATCTTTGGTTGTGACTATTTTTATTTTACTTCCTGGCCTTTGGAAATATGTATATTGGTACTGACTAGAAAATATGGAAATTGTAATTTAGTTTAATTCATTGTTGCTAAAGCTCTCACACACTTTGATGTTGTCCCATTTCCAGCTATTCAAAGTCCATTTCATCTTTGAAGTGGTAAATTGAATTCATAATTTTAGACACATCTTTGCGAGTGTTCCATAAGGTGTCAGGGCTGATTAAGGAGGCAAAGAGTCAAACCTTAAAAAAGAAATATTGATGGTAATCTGCTCTTTCTTAAAGCAATGTTGTCATGACAATTTTTGAAGTTGAATGGATCTGTCCTCTCTTGTGTGGTGAGAAATAGAGAAAGCTCAAAGCACCAGCATATGCCTTGAAAATATCAGTGTAGATTGTGCCCTAGACCATTATTCCATTTTAGGCCTAGTGCAAAGTGAATATGAGCCAGTGTGGCAGCTGTTGTAAAGTCTCTGATTTTCTGGGCTTGTCTGTTTCATTAAGCTGTGGTCAGCTAACTCCCTCTGGTACATTTCTTTGGCCTCCATGATATTCTCCATATTGTCTTGGCTCCAACATGTACTTACTCAAGCTTTAAATCCACGAGATATCTTGGACCTATCCCAACTCTCTAACCATCATCATAGTTTAAAAAGAAAAAGAATAAAAGAAAAAATGCTAATACCTTTTGATTTTACCTTCTGAAGTTTTCTCAAATACTTTCTCTAATTTCCCTGCCCCAATTTGCTTACCCATTTGAAGCATTATAGGCATTTGCAAGCTAGTCTCCCTGTTCTGTCTCTCTCTTAAATCCATCTACCTCATATCACATAGGACAATGTAATAAAAACATAAAATTGCCCATCTTCCTCCTGTGTTGGGAAGAACTCATGACTTCACATCATCTTTACCACTGTCTCTGAGTATCAATATCCTTACCTCCCCTTTCTGCCTCATAACTGACTTCCTTCTTAGGATCTAATTATAACAAGCTCATTACCTCAATTCACTACTTCATGCTTTTGTACTTGTGTTTTTATTGTTTCCTTTCCCCAGAACCTCCCTTTCTCCTTTTTTAATCTGGTGAATTTATATTTAGGCTTTACTGTGCATCTCACGTGGCAATTCTTCCACAAGGGTTTTCTGAACTATCTAAATAATTGAGATGCATTTACACTGATTTCCATAGCACTTGATGCTCATTTCTTCCTTACCACTAGCCTTATGTTGCCTATCCTTTATTAGATTATAAACTCTGAACACAGAATCATATTTCTTTGGTCTTCCAGTGCCTAGCACATGGTTGTGAAGACTTCTGTATCTGTAGTTTGTATGTCATCCTCTGATGTAGCATTTCAAACTCTCAAGCATGTGTTAAGTCACACCAGCTCTAGCTTCTGCCAGCTTACACACATATGCCCATACTGATAAAGCATTAGTAATAAAACTGTTTTATTATTATTTTGACAACATTTAGGTTCTTAGCTATTATAGTCTCTAATGCCAAAGGCAGTTAAAGATACATATGAGTTTCCTGTGTTTTTATAGATAGAATTTAAAGATACCAAGGTATTAAACTCACCATTCTCAATTTTTGTTTTTCTTTAGATTGCTGCCAATTCCTGGGGAAAGTCATGGGGAGAGAATGGCTATTTTAGGATTCTTCGTGGAGTAAATGAATCTGACATTGAAAAGTTGATTATTGCAGCTTGGGGCCAACTGACAAGTTCAGATGAACCATAACATATTAAATTTCCATAAGGCCATGCATTTAAGTAACTTCTTAAATTGAAGTTTCACAATGTGGAACTTTGTGTCTTCACTATATATATATATATATATATATATATATATATATATATATATATATATATAATTTTGCCTGTTTGCTTGCTTTACCTCAGGCTCTATACTTTTGCTTTCTTTATATTACTGAGTATATGAAAACATTAATAAAGGCAGCAGAGTGGCTAATTGCCTTTAAAGTTCTTACATTGTCTTTATTCTTCTCTCATGATAATGTCCCTTTGTCTTTAATTGTTCATAAGCAAGATGACCAGATCTGTCTTAAAAGTCATTGCACTCATTTACAAAAACAATGTGGCTGCTTTCCTGGACCAAAGAAGATTTCAGACAACAAAAAGCAAATTGGAAACTCATCAATATGTCATATCTATGACTTTCTTTTTTTCAACTAAATAAGCCTTTCTTAATCCAAATTTGCTTATGTTTTGCTGAAAGCAGTGGAAATAGATTATTAGTTGTTTCTCTCAATAAGCTAACATCTTGTTTCTTTTCGTTTACCTAAACGTGCAATCTAGTCACAAGAGAAAAGCAACCATGCACAGAAAATAGCTACTATTCACAGTCCTATGGAATGGTCTCCAAGGCAGAGAAGATGTTGAGTAAGGAAATCGTCAATGATAATAATAGAAGCACAGTGTGGACACACATACACTCTTACTTTTGGAAGCAAGCATACTTTGTGCAGCTTATTAAAATTAGCTGTAAAATTATATTTAGAAAGATACCATATTTGCCCCTGAAAACAGCAACATGATACCATGACTCAGAAAAATAAATACACTTTTATCACAAGTGTTTCACAGTTCACTGCTTGAGATTTTTAAAAGTAAGCTAAATTGGCACTAATTTGCATCTAATTGTGATTTTATTTCTCTATAGTCAGACAAACAAAAATAGCAACAAACAAAAACATAATAATGGTTAGGAAAGGATATAATCTCTTAATAATTCACTGCCATTTAAATGGCAAACTAGTAAATAAAGAAGTAAGGCTGGTCTGTAAGTGAGCACAGCCATCTGTAGTCAATGGCAGTACAACCAAGACCTGAATTTCTGAGCATTATATCATCTTAATTTTCAGTGTGGGGATTTTTATGTTGTTTGTCCAAAGTTACCCTGATTAGATAAGCCAGACATGCTGAAAATGGGAGGAAGCAGAGAAGAAAATTGATGGTTGCAATTGTTCTTTTCATTAATCATTGAAGCTTTATCAGAAGAAGTATCTATTCACTCTGTTCTCTCATAGAAAACTTACAGGAGGGCAATTCACCTTGTCAGCATTGGCCAACATTCCCCAGAGGATTGAGAAATAATCTGTTTTTTCTCAGTCTGGGTTCCTGTAGAAACAGCCCCTACAAAAAGGTTTTGTGTACAAATAATTTGTTTGGAAGAGAAGACAGTGGGGAGTGACTATCTGTCATTGTTAGTGATAAAGGGTGCATCGGCAGGTAAAATCCACCCTGGGCAACTCATTGGTATCTCACTGGGGACTGTTAATTACATTTCATAGATCTATGCCACCCAAGGAAAGGTCTGTTCTGGGGTTCATGAATTCAAGCATGGCAAAAGAATGGGGAAAATACATTCCAGTCTCTCTCCCTCCCTCCCTTCCCTCCTCCCTTCCTTTCTTCCTTCCTTCCTCTCTTTCTCTCTTTCTCTATCTCTCTCTTTGTCTCTCTCTCTCTTCTCTCTCTCTCTCTCTCTCTCTCTCTCTCTCTCTCTCTCTCTCTCTCTCTCACACACACACACACACACACACCAAATAAAAGCAAGTCCTGGTCCTTGCACAATGTCAGAATGAGGTCCACTGAAATAGTACAAGTGAGGCAAGTAGGCAGGGCTTTGTATGGGTAGAAAAGCACTTTAAAAATATTCTTCGGATGTTGAAAACCATGGAAGTAACAAATTTATAATACCGAAAGCACCAGATGACTAACATTCCTTTTTAAAGCACTTATGGGATTAAGTGACTCCACTTCCTTCTGTTATTCAACTGGATAAAGGTATTAAAATCAAGTTTTACATTGTAGCTTGTGGGCCCTTATTATGCATTTTACAATTCCCTACCTTTCTTATGATTCCAAATAAGGAGAAAACTGTACCCAAAAAAGAAGAAAAAAGAAAGAAAGCAAATTCCACCATAGTAAATCTCATAGGAAAGCACAGAAGTGTGTTTATCCAGCAATTACAGAACAAGAACTGAAAGATATTGAAACTAACTGGGCCAGGAGTGTACCAGTGGGATCAGAATGGTGTTATTCCTGAAGTTTGTTGAGTCAGAGCCTTTCCTTCTATAATGTCACTTCTCATTTTTGCAACTTTCTTTATTTCTTCCTCTCTTCTTCCCTCCATCTGTCCCTCCCTCCCTCCTTCTCTCTCTCTCTCTCTCTCTCTGTCTCTCTCTGTTTTGAAGTACTGATAAAATCCACGGCCTTACACATGCCAGGCAAGCACTTTACAACTGAACCACATCCCCAGCCCCTACCCAGCTCTTTTATAAAAGCATTTCTTGCTATGTTGTCCAGACTGCCTCAAATCCTCCCTCCTCGGCCTTCTGAATAGCTGGCATTACAGGTGTATACCACCCCACTTGGCTTAATTTTTGTAACTTTAAAGATCATGTTTCGTTCTATTTATCATGCAAGGACCTTGAGACAACTTTCAGAAGTTAGCATTGGCATATTCCTTGACCCAACCTAGGAGCTGAAGAACTATGGGTAGATATCTATGTGTCTTCTCCTGAGCTGTGATTTTGGGTGTAAGTGGTCCTTGTTAACTTCAGCCTAGATTAGGCAATGAAAGGAACAACACATTTGGTGTATGTCATTTCCAGTCTCTACTTTAATTTACATTTATGGGATTTTATCATTTCACATCATGAGAACTGGAGAGAAACACCATCCATAAAGATAATTTGATTTATCCAAGACAATATGTCTCAGATTGGATGACACTGTGAACATTAAGACCTGGTTTTCTCCATCCTAAGATACCATCTCACTCCAGTAAGATTGGCAGCCATTATGAAGTCAAACAACAATAAGTGTTGGAGAGGATGTGGGGGAAAGGGTACACTTGTACATTGCTGGTGGGACTGCAAATTGGTGAGGCCAATTTGGAAAGCAGTATGGAGATTCCTGGGAAAGCTGGGAATGGATCCACCATTTGACCCAGCTATCGCCCTCCTCGGACTATTCCCTGAGGATCTTAAAAGACCGTACTATAGGGATACTGCCACATCAATGATCATAGCGGCACAATTCACAATAGCTAGACTGTGGAACCAACCTAGATGCCCTTCAATAGATGAATGGATAAAAAAATGTGGCATTTATACACAATGGAGTATTACGCAGCACTAAAAAATGACAAAATCATGGAATTTGCAGGGAAATGGATGGCATTAGAGCAGATTATGCTAAGCGAAGCTAGTCAATCCTTAAAAAACAAATGGCAAATGTCTTCTTTGATATACAGTGAGCAACTAAGAACAGAACAGGGAGGAAGAGCATGAGGAAAAGACTAACATTAAACAGAGTCGAGTGGGGGTAGAGAAAGGGAGAGAGAAAGGAAATCATATGGAAATGGTAGGAGACCCTCAATGTTACACAAAATTACACATAAGAGGTTGTGAGGGGAAAGGGGGGGAAACAAGGGAGAGAATTGAACAACAGCAGATGAGGTAGAGAGGGAAGATGGGAGGGGAGGGGAGGGGGCATAGTAGGGGATAGGAAAGGTAGCAGAATACAACAGTCACTAATATGCCATTATGTAAAAATGTGAGTGTGTAACCGATGTGATTCTGCAATTTGTATTTGGGGTAAAAATGGGAGTTCATAACCCACTTGAGTCAAATGTATGAAAGATGATATATCATGAGCTTTGTAATGTTTTGAACAACCAATAAAAAAAAAAATTTAGTCGACAAAAAAAAAAAAAAAAAGACCTGGTTTTCTTCCTGGTTAGTCAGAAATATGTGACAGTTACATGTTTTTATGGGGTGTAGTTTAAACTAGTTACTATATAAAGGTTTTGTTGGGGAAAGATGAAATTCTACTCTTGTAAGACATTGAGTTAAAGATTAGCCACTCTCCTGAACAAATAATAACTCGTTATTCAGGTAACACTAAGAAATATGCAAAAGGAAGACATAGAAAAGACCTTAAAGTCAGGGATCCTGCATGCTGGTTTCACTGCATTTACATCTTATCTCATTTGATTCTAAACAATGAAAAAGATTTCTTTAGAATTTTTTTGCAAATTCTCTTAATCATGTATAAATTGGAATGACATTCATTAGTTGGGGTACAACGAGTAAAAAGGAAATTTTTCTCAGTATTTCCAATAGAGGGAATATAGTGAAAGCAATTGGTTACCAGGGTTGGTCAATCAGCCCAGAGGCCAGCAGCAGTGGGGAGCTGCTTTCGTTCCTAGAGTGAAGGACAAAATGAAGATAAAGGTGGGTTGCTGGAATCTATGGGCTGGGTTTTTCACAGCAGTATCTGTAAGCATGACCGAACTGTCTGGTGGAGCCATGGAAAGACATGGGGCTGTCAAATATGCCAGAAATGGAAGAGAATAGAGGCTTCTCCATACTGCACACTTTCTAAACTCTCATCAACAAATTGCATTGAGCTATTGAAAGGCAAGTATTAAAAAAAAGGGGGTTATGAAATCAAGCAGTCAGGGTCAGCTCTCATGCTTTATTAGATACAGAGTACAGCAAGGGCAAGATAAATCACAGGGTAAACATGGAAAACAAACTGTTGATTGATCTCATATAGATATTAGAAATTAAGGCTATATAAAGGAATAGCTTATCAGTGGTTGACAGTTCATGAATTTAGTCCCTTAGTTAATACATGTGTCTTAAGTAATGTAATGCTTGTTATTACACAATTTTATCCTCTTGACATATGGGGAATAAATTATAATCTGTACACAGAGAGTTTTGTATTCAACTTTCTTTGTTTCACAGGACTTAATATGATGTTTAC